TAAACGCACAGATTTGAAACAAATTGCAAATTGTGTAATAATAGATTCTTTTAACGAAACAAAAATCAAAAATTGTTAAAAAATGTTTCCAAAGAATTATTCATGAAAATGTTTTATGTTTTTTGCTTTATTTTTCCCATTAAAGCAAGGTGCAGGTCCCTTTTTGACGATACCCTTGATAAATTACTTAAAAGAGGTCCTTAAACTTGTAAAAAACGAGTAAGAATAGAAAAATTGTGAAAAAAGGGACGGTAGTATACTACTGTTATTTAGAGCCCTGTCACTGACAAAAGGGTATATCACGGACCACACCTTGCTTTAATGGGAGTAATAAAGCAATAAACGAAAAACATTTTTCATGAATAATTCTTTGAAAAAATTTTTTAAACAATTTTTGATTTTTGTTTCGTTAAAAGAATCTTTTATTTCACAATTTGCAATTTGTTTCAAATCTGTGCGTTTATTCGTCAAAAAGATAACTTTTTACCTTTGTTTTAAATAATCTCGAAAAGTTAATGAAATAAGCGAAATTTTCTTTATTATTATTTTTCCCGAAGGCTTCAAATATTATAGAACAAATTTCGCATACTGATAGGATTTTTATTGAATAAGCTATAAGGTTTCAAAGTAGACCGTTGTCAAAATAGTGTAAAAAACCATGTATATTTTATCTTCTAAAATCCATAACTGATGCACAAAATTTTTCTGCTTTTTGCAATTTCGTATAGTAACGTAGGAATAGTATGTATTATAATCGTGGTAGGAAAGATGCGTCTTTTAATGTCGGTGATAGAGCCTGGCGTTTCACTCATAAATTGTCAAGTGCAGCCCAGAAGTTTTGTGGTAAATTAGCACTGAAATACGAAGGTCCATACGAAATTATTGAAAAACGGTCGGATAATACTTATTTGCTAAAATCGGACGGTAATCGTTGGGTTCCGAAAGTTAATATTACGCATCTTAAACGCTACATTCCCCCTCGTGGTAGGCAAACCTAATTTTGCTTCCTCGTGGAGGTGGAGGAAGCTTTGTAGTCCTTTCGTTTATAAAACTTTTCAAAGTGGCGGAAACATATTTTTTTCTTTATAGAAACATGTTATATGAGATCCTGATCAATTGTCCGGATGTATGTACGTGTGTGTGTATGTGTGTGTGTGTGTGGATCCCTTTTTTGTTTAGAAGATAACTTTAACAGGTTTTAATGGATTTAGATAAAATTTGGTAGGCTCATTTATCATATTAATATCTCAAATCTGACCAAAGGATTTTGAAAAATACCCCAAAAAAAAATTTTATCGTCTTTTTTCCAAAAATTTTTTTTTAATCGAAAAAATTTTTAAATAGAAAAATTTAAGGTTATATATAATAAAATCATATTCCTTACGTCAAGACGAATCGATCGATATATATAAAGTATACATTTAAGGTAAATTTAAAGAATTAATGAAAGTAAAAAAATCAAAATTTCACATTTAGGCTATAAAATTTTGTGATTTTTTAAATTGAAGTTTATATATGATATAATTGTATTCCTTACGTCATGACGAATCGATCGATATATATAAAGTATACATTTGAGAAAAATTAAAGAATTAATGAAAATTAAAAAATCAAAATCACATTTTGGCAATAAAATTTTGCTTTCTCCACGAGGAAGCAAATTTTTTTGCTGATCGTAAAGAGGAAGCAAAATGTTCATGTAATGAACATCTGAATTTACAACTTGTTTTTGTACTCATGGTTATTGTTTTCAGTCCAGGTCCAGTAGAGTGAAGTCTACGGTTCACCGTATAAATAGGCGGCCAGCAGAAAGTAAAATGAGAAAGGGAAGCATAGCACGCCAGAGAGGGAGTTTTGGACACAATTCACCAGCCCATCGAGATTCGACTAAATTCCCGCCACCTTCAGTCGAAGTCCAGAAGCCAGATGAGTTCGGTCAGGTTTTCGAGGAAACAATTAAAATGCTCAATGAGGCAAGGGCTCGAAGAGAACGAAGAGACGAAAGGCCTGTCGTTCCCGTTATCGAATTAGCGTCAATTACAGATAAGCCTGAATTAACACTCATCGAAGTCCAGGAGGCCACTTCTGAAGTGCCTCAACCATCGTCTAGTTGAGGAGCAAACCGTCGAAGTCCAAGTCAGGAAAAAGTACGCGTAAGTACAAAGAAGGTCGGTTAGAGTTAGTGAGTCTAGAAAGACGAGCAGATGAAAGTATTAAGGAGTGGGAGAGTCGTTGCGCTATTGCTGAATTGGAAGAAGCAATCGGCGAACAAATAAAGGCCAATTTAGTCTTGAAGGACTTAAGAGAGAAATTGCGTCGAGCGAAGGAGCATAGAGAAAAGAATCCTCTACAGTCCTGGGATTATGTGGTATCACGTTCTCCAGAACTTGAGCCATCGCCGAATGCCTCAACGTCGTCAGTACTGCCTGACAATTGCCCGCCGCCGAGTTTGGTCAAGGTGATAGGACAACCCGACTTTATTGTCCATCGCCCGACATCTCCAGTTGGAAATGATCCACAACCCTCTGGATCAGCAACGTCTCAACCAAACAAGAAGGAGAAAGTTCTGCCCGTTAAACGAGGTGGCCGTATGTTTGACGGAGACGATTTGATCCCTATTGATAAAAGAGTTGACCCTCCTCCAGGCAAATGTCACAATTGCTGGAAGAAAGGTCATACGGTCAATCGTTGTCCAGAACCATGGGGAGTTTTCTGTGGCAACTGTGGTCGGAAAGGAGTGGTGCTCGTGGATTGTCCTAGATGCAGCAGGGTTCATCGAGAGCAGATGCTTCGGAAGCACGGGGAGAAGGCATATCAGAGGCATTTGAGCCATCGAGGACAACGCTTGGAAAGAAAATTCAGTCCACATTCGAATTTGGCTACTCAAACGTCGAATGAATTAGTGCGCGAGTCCAGTGATCGAGGCTCAATGGGTCATCGTGTAGATGGAACTGTCTGTCAGTGTCCGGAATTGAATGAGAACCATTCGAACTCCACCTCCGCGATCAGTGCATTAGTCGAGACACCGATGGACTTGAGCAGTCCTCGCGAAGAACTTGTGAAAGCAGTGTCAGCGTCTGTCTCACAAGAAGACATATTGGCGGAACTGAGAGGATTGGACCGTCTATTGGAGGGCGTGCCCCCTGAGATGATGCAGGAATCGAATAGGCAGTTTATGCAGTCCCGTCAATCACGTTCTTCTTAAGTTATTTTAACAATATCAGCGTCATTGTCCATTTGTATAGAACGTGGATTCTATTTTTATTTTAGTTACAATTAGATAATTGATCAAACTTAGTTCCTGCACAGTATTATTATTTAAGTTACAAGTTTAGTTTTTTTTGTTACGGTAAGGTGCAGTTACCCGAATTGTCGTCGAGAAATGGAGATTCGCATTTCATTGTTATGTGATCGGCGATATTCTAGATTATAATATTTTTCAATATCGTTCGCGATCACTCATTGGCTTACTTAATATGTAATAATATTATAGACGTGATATATTTCAAGTAATAAGTATACGTGTTTTATTTGAATAGTGTTGGCTTTCTTTTTATTATTCGTCTGGTCTGCTTGTGTACACCTGATTTTTTAGCAGAAGTCCAGTAGTAAGTATAATGCTATTTGTCGTCCAGTCTCACAAAAACGTGGTAAGCATCGCCCCGAAATATTTGGCGAAGGTTCCCCCTTTTGTGTAGAATTTGGCAATAAAGTAGTGAATAGCGTGGAGATACAATTAATTCTTTAAATTAATATCCACCGTTATAAAGTACTAATTCTCGAGAACATGTCCTAAGGATGTACCCCACACAGCACCGAAAGTCTCCTAAACCAGTATTAAAGCTGTACGTGTCAACTTGAAACTGAAGTATTAAATTAAATCTTCAGTAAAGGTTTATCGTAAAATTTTCTTGAACATTTAAATTAAATCTTTGTTAAATATTTAGTACAAAAATTGAATAAAGAAAATATATTTATTATTTAAAACTTATATGTGTCCTGACGTGGTGAAAGGGACCTTATGGTACAATAGCAGTAAACCCAAAATGGTACTGCCTCTACATTTCGTTGCCTAGGAACTTGGCGCCACCATTGTTGATAGAGAAGAACTACCAAAAACTTTTCCGTATACAAATAATTTACTAAGTGGAAACCAATATGCACATATTGTTTCATAATTGGGACTTTACCATATAAGTAATTTATTTTTCCAATATATACGCTGAAAGTATGAATACGACTATTTGTTAATGGTAATAAATTTATCAATTTCTCAATAATTCTCCCCTCAATAAACTTACTTTTGATTCTCTCCTGTTGAACATCCCTGTACAAATGTACAATTTAAAGTTCAGCTAGTGGACTTATACACAAAATTGTTTAAGATCTTGTGCAGGGGTTTTCAACAGGGTTTAGTGGAGTAAATTTAGTTTTCTCACTAATAAACCCTTGAATCTTAAAATAATTTTATCTTAAATATCCCCAACCTCCACTTTTTTGTAGCACTGCGTGTAACAAGTAAGAAGCGACGATTACGAATGTAAAGTTTGATAGTTAAAATTATATGGCAAAATTAGATAGTAAATGACACAGATTATATTTCTGTCCTTTCTTATTTCATGCTCCTGACCTGTGCTTGCGTCTAAACTTAAAACAATTGGAATTGCCGAATTTTATTCACTTGTTGCACAATATAATATTCTTAAATGACCATTAACAAATGTATTAAGATTTTGCAGAAATCGCATTTATGAAACAAATCACCAAATGAATAATATGTTTTCAGCAGGAAATAACTATGTCAATTTAAAATGAATATTTAGCGTATTTTATGCCAGTATAATTATATATTTATTTATATTTTTTTTGATAAATCACGCTACTTATGCTAATAATATTCGTCGATAATGTACATTTGGTGAACTGCAAGCTAAATGCGATTTGAAGTTTGCGAAAAATTATTTTACTATTTAAGAAATATAACAATAAATTGAAATTACCCTAAAATGTCAAATATTCCACAAGCATGCTCAAGAAACGTTATAAGAATTGTACCTCCATTTACAATCGCATAACTACAAACGTAACCAACAATATAACTATAAAGTATTACAACGACATAATACTTTTGTAAATTTATACCACACTCAATAAAAAACATAAGCGGCTTAGGTGTATCATCGTGTCTCATAATGATAATTAACATGGGAATGCCATGTGATAAATAGTAGAAAAATCCATGTCCCAAATAAACAACTGAAAAATTACCATTATATAAATATAAAAGCAATGGTTTAGTACATGAAAAAGACAGTAAACATATACTTAATTGTAAAAACTTAATGATTTTTCTACTATTTTCTGAATATTTTAATTTGTTTTTCAAATAAAAATATCTACAAGTGTATATGCTAGTGAAAATTTTGCACTTTCTGCCATATTTGTGTAGAATAATAGCTTCATTTTCTGATGTTAATGTGTCCCAATCATCTTGCATTTTCACAAAAACAGCGTTTATCTATAAAGAAATTGTGATTTTTGTACATGATTTACATTTAATTACTCGTTTAATTACATATTTTATCATAAGAACAACGTTCATGTAAACGTCCAATAAGGAGATTACCTACTTTACAGAATCCAAACATTGTTTTTTTTATCAAAATCGAATGTAAATTATTTAAGAATATATTTTTATAAAATACTTCCCCGAGTCGAAATTTAAAGTCGCCTTAGAGCCTGCTAAAACGTACGTTATAGAAGGTCTTATTTACATTGCGTTAGGATCGACTTAAGACCTCATAGATGCTACTTATGTCACTTTTAGGCAGTTATTATTTTCTAAGGAGGTCTTAATTAAGACCTTTTCAGAGCCTGCTAACTACTGCTCAATACAATATGCGCTTGCGCATAGAACTAGTCGGAGGTGGTTAGTAGGTTCTATGGAGGTCTTAATTTAAACTTCTTTAGGACCTGCTAGGACCTACTCAAATAAGTGACAAAAAAGTCGTTGGTTCCGCGAAAAAACATATCACTTTATAATAGCCTTGAAAAAAATATTCTGTTTCAAAATTCCGTTGAAAATCAAAACATTTTAGATAAGATTTGGAAGGCATATACAATTCAGAATTATATTTGGCTTTTTTATTTTACGTTGCCAGTATTAAAAAGAATTACCTTATAAATTTTACAAAAAAAATTTATCAAATATTAATGTAATTATTAAAATAGTCTTGTTTCTTTAAAGAAAAATAATAGTAAGAAAAAATACAATTTTAATTAACATTTACAAGCTCAATAAACTATTTTTGTAAAAATTTGTAAGGTAAGTTTTTTAATACTGGCAACCTAAAATAAAAAAAGACAAATAACAATTCTAAAATGTAAAATGTTTTCCAAATCTCACCTGACACATTCTAGTTGATTTTCAATGAATTTTTGAAACAGTTTTTTTCGAGGCTATTATGCAGTGATATGTTTTTTCACCAAGCCGACGATTTTTTGTCACTTTTTTGCTGTCTTAATAATTAGAATTTGTATGAAACAAAAAATTCTTTCTTTCATATAGCAATACAGTTACAACTGTAGTAAGAACAAAATAGTTTTGTTGATTCTACAGAAACAATGTTTTTCGTTGTACAATTATTTTTTAAAATTTATAAATAATAAAACTTGCTTAAACTTAATGATTTATATAAATTTATTGATGCATATCATGTCATTTTTTATAATTTTCTACTCGTTATACACGTCCTCTTTCAAACACAAAAGTTTTAAAACTAAGTATTAAAAATGGACACGTGTGGAACCAAGACATTATGGAGGGAATGCGCACGCATTCTCCAAAATAAAAAATTTCCAGTTTCTTTGGTCAGAGTATCAAAAAGTACTTAATTCGATCTAAAAAGAACTTAATAGGCTCTGTCAGTCATACGTTTTTATGTAAGGGTACCAAAGAGGACTTAAATCTATGTTAACAGGACATAGTAGGCTCTAAAACAGTTATACAATTTCAAGTCAGGAAACTTAAGAGTACCTAAGTCAATCTAAATAGGTCCTAGTAGGTCTTAAGTCGATGAAACAGGTCTAAAAAGTATCAAAATCGAACTTAATACTTCGTAGTAGGACTTAAATCAACTCTAAATTTCGACTCGGGTCAGCTGCGGTAGGAAAGAGATTTGCGTTCTGGGAGGACTAATGAAACCAGCATCACTAGCGTTCATACTGGACGATAATAAAAAGGTTCAAGTGTTGGACATTATGTGTAGTTTGCTCATAATACTCTTAGTTCTCCAAATCGAAAAATTAGCCATTCGTAGAAGTCTCACTTTAAAAATATCGATTCTTCCTTGTGAAAAATACTTAATTCTACCCAACTAGGTGCCCGGTAAGAAGCGAATAATTAAAAAGAATTCAGAGCTCCAATTCTTTTGAATGGGTGAATTTACATTTTTATTCAATTCCTCGATGAAGCAAAAAAAAGTAGAAAAATCTATTCTTCTGAATTGACTTGGACAAAATTTATATTCTAAATTATACATATTCCTCTAAATATACTCTTAACAATTCAAAATACTCAATTGTAAAACATAGAAATGCCTCATTTATTCTCCATATTTTCTATTCCTCTAAATGCACTTCAAATGGCCTAACATATAGTCAATTTAAAGAAATAACCACATCTACATCACTTTTCAAATTTCATCCTTTCAAAACGCTTTGGAAATTTTGATATTTAGATGTTGATCACTGGGGAGTTAGGTAAAAACGTAAATTCGCCTACACGGGAAAAAGAAAAACGTTGGATTAATACCGTTTTCCGATTGGTTCAACGGCAAGGAGCGCTGTAGGCAGTGTCTGTTGGATCAACTTACTTGTAACAATAGATGGACAGTAGGTTCAACAGTAAAAGTCTGTTGAATCAATGCCGAAATCGTGACAGGGCCCACTGACGTTGAACCAATCGGAAAACGGTATTAATCCAACGTTTCTCTTTTTCCCGTGTAATTAGAATAATTGAAAATGATCAACTTATGCTCAATATATGCAAACTTTCAACCTTTCTCTATTCCTCGCTTCTTACCGGGTGAGTGGTTATTTGATGAATGTTGGGGACATATGTCGAAAAACTTGAGCACATTAAAAATTTTAAACTAAAGGTAGTTTTAATGGGTCTAAAATGTTTTGTAAAGCAAATAAAAGGCAAAGATGTGTTTCTAATAGTAGATAACACGCAAAAGTGTATGTAAACACAGGCGAGATTTAGTGTTCACAGTTCCGTGTCCTGATTAAAATATCTTGATGTGGTACGAAGAGAGAGTATATAGCTCATATACATGAAAGTATATAGCTTCCAAGAAAAATTGTGAAGCAGATTTTGAATACCGAAGACTTGAACGAGAAACATAATACTCCTCATACGATAAAGCGAGTTTGTAAATTAATTTGGTCAACCACAGATTGATCTCTACGCATCAGGATGAAACACCAAGAGTTAGAATTAAATCTTTTAGAAAAAGCATGTGGAAGACGCTATCCCTGGTTGCAAACATATTATAAAAAACATTTGAAATGAAACATGTTTCAGCGGAAATGGATATATAGATTTTCGTCAAAAACTTCTCTGCAGAATGCAAGTTAATACATTATAAATAGAAATGTTATGTAATGAATATTTGGAGACATTCTTGTCTTTATTGTAAAGCAGGATACCTCCTTAAGTACATTTAGTTAACTTTATATATGTCAAACATGCGTTTTGTAACTAGCCCATGAGAGCAAAAAAAGATGCAGATAAATACATTTGTCAGTTTTGCACTCATCGTCTAATATTGCAAAACGCTGTCATGAGACTTCACACTGACAATTGAACGTGTTAAAAATTTTTATCCCTGATAATGAATTGTTCCAATACTTAATTGCATGAAATTTAGAAATCATAATTATTTTAAAGCTTACTTTGAGGAAGCAAAAAAAAAAATTTAAACTGATTACTTGTTTTACTTTCAGATTATTATTTGTATAAAGAATTGCAGCCATTGAAGAATAACATACTGGTGTAACGCACTGCAATACCATGTCAATATTTCCATATTCTTTTATTAATCCTGCAATCTAATTTTTTTAATATCTATATTAAATTAAAAACAATTGTGATTGAATATAATATTACCTGAACACATATAAAAGAAAACATAGTAAAAAAAGTGAATGATTTTAACAAGAAATTGAGCCATTTCGGATGATGTACACTTAACCCTGTTAAAATTATAATATTTCTGGTAACATCATAGTATGACTTCTTTACTACGTCCATCTCTTCGGTGCATACACAATATTGACGAAAACTTATGTGTTTTAGTCCTTCTTATGAGCATTCTTACTCTTCGTACGAATCAATATCGAGTATTTAAATATTTATGTTGACTTACAAGTGTTTCTCAAGAACTGTTAGACGTACCTATAATTAAAATAATTGCCACTTATGTATATTAACTTAAAGAGTGGATATTTTTCATCGAGTTATCTAAGAACTGTTAGATGTACCTATAATTATAATAATTGCCATTTCTACATGAAAAAGAAAATTAATCAATACCGTCTCCTTATAGTGTCTACAAATTTTAGCAATAAAACTGCAATAGGAGTTAGTTGTCTTGTAATTTTTAACACAAAACTTTACATGGAAGAATATCACACAAATTCGGCTTTCTACTTTATACTAGAAAGATTAAAAGTGTAGTAAATTTTCATATTTATTTAATCCTTTGTTTATTTTTATAAATATAATATAAGACGCTCCGTGACAAAATGTACCTAAGCTCCCAAAAAATTTAGGCGATCCATGAGGGCCAATATTAATAATAATAGTTAATTAATAATAAATAAGCTTAAATTATGAATAAATAACATATTTATTTACTAATTCTTCCATTTTTAAATTAAATTCTTACTCAAATTGAATTTATTAATTAACGTTCTAATTAATTAACTGTCGGATATAATTAAAAGTAATAATAAATAAATTAATTAAAAAATTAAAAAATATGTTATGATCGGATGTTTTCATTTTTCAACTAATTCATACATAGAATTAATGATTAAACGCAAACCTGAGAAATGAATAAATCTAACGCGTGGGGGAAATCGAACCTACGACCTACGGACTATGAGCCCAACGCTTTACCAACTACGCTACGCACGCTACGTGAAAATGAATGCTAATTTCTTGATGGCATTTAAACTTGCAAATTACCTAACTCAGAAAAGTGCTTAACATTATTTAGTTAAAGTTAAGATATTAAATTATATTTTCCAATCAAATGCAATTTATAAAATATAATTAATTATATATGCTTTATGATTATTATCATTAACCATCCCAGGTGAATTTTCAAAAAAAGTGAAAATATATGAGCCGCTGGATTCTAGAAGGGCACGTAAATTTTATCGGCCGGAAAACAAAGTCCCCTGCTATGGGATTCCGTTTAGCAACGGCGCTAAGTAGTGCTACGCTACGCTACGCTTTACTTAGCTACTCTACGGATTCTTCTAATTAAAAAACAACTTAAAAACAGGGTAGTACAACACAACACAGTACAACACAGTACAACACAGTACAGTACAGTACAGTACAGTACAGTACAGTACAGTACAGTACAGTACAGTACAGTACAGTACAGTACAGTACAGTACAGTACAGTACAGTACAGTACAGTACAGTACAGTACAGTACAGTACAGTACAGTACAGTACAGTACAGTACAGTACAGTACAGTACAGTACAGTACAGTACAGTACAGTACAGTACAGTACAGTACAGTACAGTACAGTACAGTACAGTACAGTACAGTACAGTACAGTACAGTACAGTACAGTACAGTACAGTACAGTACAGTACAGTACAGTACAGTACAGTACAGTACAGTACAGTACAGTACAGTACAGTACAGTACAGTACAGTACAGTACAGTACAGTACAGTACAGTACAGTACAGTACAGTACAGTACAGTACAGTACAGTACAGTACAGTACAGTACAGTACAGTACAGTAATCTTTCTGTACAACCTACGTTGCGCATGACGGTAAAACCTTTTTTATTACAATCATAATTATTAAATCAATAGTCACTATATCTATGCGACGCTTCATGTGCGATCGCATCCGTGCTAGTAAAAAATCATGTTTAAATCTTCACGTGTGCGATCTCATAAAATGCGGCTAAAATGCACTTTCAAAGGTGTGCAAATTAGTAACTTATAATTTAAATAGATTAAAAAATTTTATTTTAACATTATTATAACTCTTAAAAATGCAAATTTGAATAATTGAAGATTTTTAAAAGTTTATTAAAAAGTTACATTAAAATAAATGTTTTTAAAATTTGTGGTTTTTCAAAATAAAAAATTTCTGGCATATTGGAAGAAATTGTCAGAAAAAAAATTTTGAATTTTTAAAAATGGACCCCGGATTTAGAATCAGCGACCCTGAAAATCCCCGAGTTACGATTTTCAAGCAAATTGGATCAACTTTGGGAGCGTTCACACATGATGTCACGCAATTTTTCGAGATTTCTTACCCCTACCCCCCTCCTATCACGCTCTGTCACATACAAGTAAACCCCTACCCCCTCAATGGACGTTACATTTCATGACTCCCCCTAATTTTTTATTTAAATTTTTTTAGGGATAATAAAAAAAATGAATATTTAATACAATGTATTACCATTTAAGCCATTTTTATTTTTCAGTTAGCAATCTTTATAAAAGTGATGTCACACTTAAGATGCCCCCACCTTCCCATGTCATATTTTGTCACGTTTGGTGAAGACCCCCCTCCCAGAGCGTGACATCATTTATGAATTCTCCCTTTTAAAAAAATCGTCCGCCGTATTGAGTCAACCATTTTGAATTTTGCAAAACGGACCTCGTATTCGTAATCAGCAACTCAGAAATCCCCCAAGTGACAAGTTTTAATCAAATTCAATAAATTTAAAAAATTTTTTGCCACATTGGATCCGTTATTTTAAATTTTGAAAAACGGACCTAAAATTCGTAATCAGCGCACCCGAAAATCCCCAAGTAACGATTTTCAAGCTAAATGCATTAAATTTTCAAAATCTCGTCTGCCGTATTGGATCCGCCATTTTGAATTTTAAAAGTATAATAGAAGCAAGCGCATAGCGCCTCTATCACAGGGTTTCGCGGCTTATATTACAATTTAAAAAAAACGAACAATCATCTCCATGCTTAACATAAACATTTATTTTAAACCACCTCTATAACAACGGTTGCTATGGTAACCGTTTCCATAGCAACCGTTGCTAGGGTAATCAACAACACTAGTAGATCCCAACAGGTGGTTGTTGGGTGTCGACGAGTCTCATGTCTCAATTGAGACGAGTCCTAAGTCACAATTGAGACAAGTCTTAAGTCTCAATTGAGATAAGTCTCAAGTCACAATTGAGACAAGTCTCATGTCTCAATTGAGATAAGTCTCAAGTCTCAATTGCGACTAGTCTCATGTCTCAATTGAGACGAGTCCTAAATCACAATTGAGACAAGTCTTAAGTCTCAATTGAGATAAGTCTCAAGTCTCAATTGCGACTAGTCTCATGTCTCAATTGAGACGAGTCCTAAGTCACAATTGAGACAAGTCTTAAGTCTCAATTGAGATAAGTCTCAAGTCTCAATTAAGACAAGTCTCATGTCTCAATTGAGATAAGTCTCAAGTCTCAATTGCGACTAGTCTCATGTCTCAATTGAGACGAGTCCTAAGTCACAATTGAGACAAGTCTTAAGTCTCAATTGAGATAAGTCTCAAGTCTCAATTGCGACTAGTCTCATGTCTCAATTGAGACGAGTCCTAAGTCACAATTGAGACAAGTCTTAAGTCTCAATTGCGACTAGTCTCATGTCTCAATTGAGAATTGTCTTAATTAAGACTTGAGACTTGTCTCAATTGTGACTTAAAACTCGTCAATTGAGACAAATCTCAAGTCTCATTTGAGAAATAATAATTTGCCTTTTCAACAGGCAAGGGGTTAACCACTTTATTTTAACCCTTTTATAACCCTTGGATACATTGTAAACAATTTTTACCGCCATCTTAAATAATTATGGTAACGAAAACTAAAAAAAATTTGATTTTTTGAAAAAAACTCAGTGTATTCTCCTCTTAAGTGAATTTGAATTTATGTTATAGCTAGTGACTTTGCGCTACGCTCCGAAGCGATTACACCGTAGCGATTTGGAACAAAATCTTGACCAATTCGCTAACTCGTAGCGCCGATAGACTTTGTTTTTTATCTTACACGCCACTAATTAATTTTTTTGACAAAATTCAAACGGGAGTTGATCTTGATTATCATATACAATAAGTCTGTAAAAAAAATTAATTTTTTAGTGCTAATTAATGCAATGCGCTACTTAGCGCCGTTGCTAAAAGGAATCCCATAGCTGGATACTCAAAATTCATTTTTCGAGCATATTCTTATACAGAATTCGATTGCGCATCTTTTTTTCTTAATAAGAAATTTTCCATCTTTTTCCGTTTTCGAAATATAAGAGAAAAACTGTTTTTTTAAAAAAGAAAATTTTCATTGTTTTTTTGACTTCAACTCGCGACAGCTCAGACAATTTTACGAATTTCCTAATGAAACAAAAACGAAAATACGTGTTATTATATTCTACGAGTGACTAAAAAAGAAAAAAGTTGTTTTGATTATAAATAAAAAAGTTATTAATTTTTTAATGAGACCATATGGATCAGCCCTTATGCGCCCCGAAATCTTGGGGTAAAGATCGTGGCTTTTTCCATACGGGAATTTAAAAAATCAATAATTTAAAAAAAAAATTTGTATTTTTATTATTTTTTAATAATTAAATTTAAATTAAAAAAATGGTCATCACATTATTAGTGAAACCATTTCTTCCAAAAAAGACTTTGTCTCAAATCCACACTGAGAAAAAAAGCACGCCGTTTCAGCGGTAAAGTCATGCAGTTTCTGCATTAGTGACACTGCAAACAGAAAACGGCTGTTTTGACATTGGAACACTGCAGTTTCTGCATTGGAATACACAGCAGTTTTTGGCAGTGCTGTACAAACTTAAAAATTAATTTTTAATTCTTTTAAAATACATTTCTTAAACATCTTATAGTTAATTACTATATAGTAATAACAAATGTTTTTATAATAATTATAATTTATTTCATAATAATATAACTTATTAATATATATTTAGGGTAAAATGTACAGTGACCGACACCCAGACAGTGAACGACACCTGCTATTAAAAACGATAATAACTATAAAAATAATAATATTGAATTAAATATCACTAGTAAATTAATTAATAT